TTTGATTCTTTACACTGCATTTAACCATACTGTACACTAAATGTTATTTCATGTTTTATTTCTAGGTAAAGGGGGGGGGGTGTCAGTTCAGAGAGGTCCAGTGCAGACTGATCCATGTCAGAGTGAACCTGCAAATGGAGATCCGGACATCTGCATTGATGTACCCCAGACCCAAGATGAGCATAAAGGTCTGTGTGTTTTATAACTTGTGATCAAGAACGAGAAGACTTTGTCTTAAACTTGTGCTGCAGTCATAGTATCAGTATAAAACACATTCACTATAATGAGAGGATCTGCATGCAAAGAAAGAGTTAAATAATAATGATGATAATGATACATATTTTACATATGTACACGACTCCTTACATAAATAAATTCTGAACATCAAATGAAGATTTATACATAAAATGGTAGTCAATTAAAAAACTTCATGGCAAACATAACCAGTAATATAAGGTACTTGTTTTCTATTTCAGATGATAAACCTCCTTGTAAAAAGAAGAACGTCAGCCTGGACCAGCTGTTGGGAGAAGACTTTCAAGTAAGTAAGGACGGCATCTAGATCTGTGAGGGACCAGGCCAATGAAGAAGTCAAGAGGTACAGAGCGCGTGATCCTTTGCCCCTGAACAAAAACCCACTACAGTGGTGGAAAGAGCAACAGGACTTGCCACTGCTGTCATCTGTAGCTAAAATGTATCTGTGCATACCAGCCACCAGTGTGGCATCTGAGAGAGTTTTCAGCACTGCAGGAGATATTGTTTCCACAAAACGCAGTCTACTCAAACATGAGCATGTGGATCAGCTGATTTTCCTTAAGAAAAATCTGCCGCAAAAAAAAAGATGAGGACAGTGATTATGATGAATAAAAATATAGGTAAACATACAAACATAAGGAAGTGAACTACTTCACTGTGTTTGAGTTCAGATTGAACCTGACGTGAATGTAGAAATGCAGGACATTACTTTTGTTCAGACTACCTCACCAGGTCAGAAAGCTGCACTTTGATTTCTTTTATACATGTAATCGGCACTTTGACTGTTGATATGTGCTGCTGATTTATCCATGCTGCTGATCTGATCTCATGCTGCTGTTTAAATGACATGATGTTATATTAATCTGTGCCCACCTGCTCACACAAAATCATGTTCGTGCTGCTGTTTTAGGCGTACTGTTCTTGCATTTTGTTTTTGTATTATTAAGTTCAAGTTCAAGTTGTGTTTATTTGTCATATGCAAGGTTAACACAATGAAATGTTCAGGATGAGAAGAACCGATTTGACTTGCTAAAAAACAAGCAAACAAGAAATACTAAAGCATGCAATAAGGGTACAAAATAAACTACCAAAAAGTGAAAAAGTAATTATAATATTTACAAAGTTTCTGAAGAGACAAATGGTAAACATTGTAGAATTTTTACAGTGAAGCAGAATGAATTTGTGTGAATAAGTATTTCAAGGTAGTAATGTAATATAAGCTAAACTGCACATGATATATATTGCACATAACTACCAAACTACACAGGGTGTGTGACAGGTTATTGCACAGGTCCTTTGTGCTTACTGTAGCTTATTCCTATTTTTTTTTTTATTACATGCTGCTGTAATCATTTGTGCATTTATCATTTTTCTTTATTTTCTCATTTTTTACTGATCCCATCAAACAAAGAAATATTCTTTTAGCTGGTCTTTTTAGGTCCATGTCTAAAAATAAACACATTTGACATGTGATTCTGTTGTTTGGATTTTTACTTTATTTTTGCCAGTGCCTTACTGCACGCTTTTAGATATGATATATGTAGACTTTTACAAATTTAAAATAATGTAAGAATGTCACATTTATAGAAATGTCCCTTTTTGTTCATAATTAATATTTGTCTACATTCAACAAATGTTAAACTGTAGAATTATATAAAGTTGAATCGAATCGCTCTTCCACTGTATCTAATCGAATCGTTCTGTTTTTAAAATAAATCGTTTTTGAATCGAATCGTAACCTTTGTATCTAGATGCGAATCGAATCGTCTATCACACTGAGATGTACAACCCTACTTCTCACCGACGCATGTTCGTACTGCTGCTGTTCAGTTTTGGTACTATTAGTAATTAGTGTATTCTTAGTTTAGTGTATTTCTTAGTTATCTTAGATCTTATTATCGTTTTTCTTTACATTTTATACTTTTGTTGGATGTAACTTACCCTGTGTCCACAATTTTGTTCCACCACATGCACCAAATATGTAAATGACAATAGAAACTTTGATCCTTGAAAACGCACAAGTGGATTTTGTTATAGCTCAGACTTTCAAGTTGAATTTATAAAGGGCAGTGTTTACCATTTTTGCTTTAATTTGTTTTCTATTTCATGTTAATGTAGTTTTTTCACTTCTGTTTTTACATTTTAGAAATAAGAAAGTTTTGCTACACTTCAGAGAAATGGAGGTTCAACATGTAATTACATTTTAAAATAAAATATTTTTAAAAGAGGAATTAAATGGATTATTTACTTAATGTTCTTTTTCGTGTATTTAAATGAGTGGTTACTGCAGAACCTGACCAATTTTATTTTCGATTACTCTATTAATCACAAGAATATTCTATAGATTCCTCGATTACTAAAATATTAGTTTACAACAGCCACTTATTCAAGTCACCAGACCAGACTAGGGAGGTGCCCAGGGAGCATCCTTACCAGATGCCCGAACCACCTCAACTGGCTCCTCTCGACGTGGAGGAGCAGTGGTTCTACTCCAAGTCTCTCCTGATAACTGAACTCCTCATCCTGTCTCTAAGGGAGAGTCCAGCTGCCCTGCAGAGGAAACTCATTTTAGCTTCCTAAATCCATGATCTTAAGTCTTCAGTGTTTCCCCTAGTTAGCTTGCCATGGCGGGGTTCTCATCTCATCCATGATTTTTGCTGATTGGGGGGACGAAGACATGTCTGAGCGCAGCTTGTACTAATAGATTTTGAGCGGGGGCGGGCAAGATGAGGGAAGAGGCAATGTGAGTGCTGCCTTTGGCTTTTTAGCTAGAGAGCTTGTATTTTGTGCTGCTAGCTTAGTGATATGTCAGTGCCAGGTGGGGGTGGGAGGGGCAAGTTCAGTTTGGTAGGCGAGGTGCTCAGTTCTGTTGACGGGGTGGGGCACCCCACCTGTATAATGGTAGAGGAAACACTGGTCTTTCAGTTTCTACCCAGAGCTCCTCCTTGAATTGCCAACTTATCGTGGTGGAGCAGTTTGTGCTCCTGACAGATCCTAGGAGCTATGCTGTCAGAGGCATCTGTAACTGACCCTGCTAAGGTCTCCTGAGGCAGACGGTTCCTAGATGACAGGCCAAACCATGAACGATACCACACACGTGTATGGACAAAAATTAACAAGCAGCTCAATGTCCCTTGCCCGGACATGGGTTACTGGGACCCCATCCTGGCTGGGGCAGTGGTTTGTCAGTGAGCACCTGTTGACCGGGTCTCTACCCATGGAGCCTAGTCAGGCTCAGCCTCAGCAACATGGGTTTGCCTTCTTATGTGCTCTCCACCTGCAGGAGGGGCCCTACGAGTCGGGTGAAGGATGACGGTGGGGGCCTTGGTGATTTGACTCTGGTTTACCAAAGCTGGCATTCACTTCCCCATCACTTTAAATTTCAGACTTTAGACTAGGGACTAGATTCTTTACCCATTTCTGACACCCAACAAACATTTAGTGTTTTTGATTCAGTCTTATTAATAAAAGTTGCGGCTGCTTTACAGCTCAGTTAATCCGGAGCGTGTCGGCTGACCATGAAACTAATAAAATGTTTAAAACTGTATTAAACTTAAGAAGCACGTATCTTTGTGATGTTCTCCTGAGCATTGTACTGTATAAAAACGTTAACATTGACTTTATTTTTATTAATATACTCTATTAATCCCCAATGGTGAAATTAATTCTCTGATTTTTCCCATTGCATATGTGAGCACATGTGAAGCAGAGAGCTGCCATCTAAAAGCGTCAGTATACTCGGGTGTACTTCAGACCACAGAGGCCCACGCGTACCAGATTAGTCGAAGCAGACGCCCGCAGGGTAGGTCCGTGCCAACTCAATTTTTGCGACCACGTACGTGTACTCTGTGTCACACAATAAACTGCCTGGCGAAGGACTGTTTTGTATGTGACATCAATGTATTAAATTTCCCTTCTTCATCCCTGATCTGGCCTTTTCTTTTGTTTGGGTGTCTTGCTCAGAGTCACAGTGCCATGTGGGAATGGCTGGGAATAGAGCCTGGGGCTTTCGGGTCCCGGGTCGTCTGCCTTGCCTCTACCCCATCTCGGCCCCCAACCATGTAGGGATGGTTAAAACTTTTGCACAGTGGTCTGTGTCCACAGATACAGGTAGCCAATGTTAAGAACACACTTTTTCTTTCTTCTGATATTTCACCTAATTATCAAGAAATAAGGAAGTTGTTAATTTGATGTAGGTCATCAGTTTTTTATGATAAACTAAAGGAAAATATTAATTTTAAAACTAAAGTAGACATGACTTCCTTATTTTTCCACCAAGCCAATTTTATTAATCTGTTTGATGAAGGTCTACCCATTTATTCTAGACTCACCATGTTTGTCTTCCTCAGCAGGACTTGCTGCGGTGTGCAGAATTAAACACGTCCACAGCTCAACCATTAAACAACAAGTCTTATTAGTCTAGTTCACGGAACACGTATTTCAAAAACGATGTCACGGAAAAAGGCCCAAGAAATGAGTGAAAAAGCCCGAAGTTGTCTGTAGGAGCAGGAGTCGCTGCGCCGCCATTTTCTCCATGTAGACACACAACAAAAGAGGAGCGGCCATTTCAGCAGCGGCAGCAGCTTCTGCTAATCCTGGTGGGTCAGAGGCCCGAACAGGTTGCACAACAACACGGAACAAGTCCCGAGACTTTCTCTGAACACCCGGGAGGTTAAAAACCGAGAATTGAAGCAGTGTATTAAAAACACATTAAAGACTTCCCGAATCAGACAGACGGTCTTTACCTGATGTGTGGGATCCCAACACCTCCTTGTAGGATCTTGTACAGCTTACTTTCGTACAACAGCTGTGGGTGTCTGGCTTTTTGTGATTCCAACTTTACAGCTACTTCCTGAGGATCACATAGATCATGAGATGGATCCGGACCAGCCTTAACTGGGACTAGTTAGTACATCGTGTGAAAGAACAGCTGACGAGGAGAAAACATCTCGCCGAGCCCAAACACATAGAAATCGATCATTACCTCTCCATTTGTGATGTTGATGGCCAGGTATATGTCACCGAAAGATCCCGATCCAATCTTTCGAACGAGCTTGTACTTCCCACCGACTATGAACTCTGCTTTGGAGCCGCTGCTGCTCGCCATAATAAGATCCACTCGGGTACAATTTCCAACGGATTTGGTTTTTTTTATGTGGGTCTAGCCTGATTTTCAGCAGGACATAGAGCTGTGTGTTCAGACCGCGACGTTACAGGATAAAATGAGCGCTGCCAGCTCTCAGCACGAACAATAATCGTCGACAAAAGAAAGGAGGAACAATCAAATTTTCAATATTTCTTCTAGAGTTCTTCTCTTTGTCGTGAGCTTTCAGGTGAAATGACCGTATATTAGACACAGTCATCGAATAAAAAACAAAAAAGACGTGTCAGCGCCACAGTATATACACCCAAGACTAAATCCCAACAAGTTTACGGCCTTCAGATGGACTGTTAGCAGCTAATGCTAGCCACATCGAACGTTAGCATCGAGCGAACGATGTCGCGAGGACCCCGCTGGAACAAAGTTCCGGCCTTCTCCCGGTTCTGAGGCCAAATTACTCTTTCGACGGTACTGCTGCCGTTACGATCCCCCGGGAGCGTTTTTGGCTAAATTAAAGGGTCGCAATCGTCGGTACAAAGTGCAACCCACTCACTCCGCCATCTTGTCTTCTCTAGCCTGTCTCAGCTGGTTTCCGTTGGAGGCGGAGACCAGCCCCGAACATCCGGGTACTTAGGCCTTGCGCAAAGTTCGAGCCTAAGTAGAGAAAACAGGTCGAAATGTAACTTCCCTGGTTCCTGATTGAACGGTCCTAAACGCACCAATTTTTTATGACTGGGTAAACACAATGTCACTGGCAGCAAATTAAGCTGTAGAAAAACATTTATAAACATGTTCTTTTTTTTCATCAGATGAACGTACAGCGCCACCCAGTGGCCAGATTAGTCCCATCCTGACACCCCTCGAGAGTATTTCATTATAGTCCGTAGGTTATATAATAATGTACATTATATGTACATTAATGTACATTATAATCTGGATTTTAGACTAAAATCCACCTGAGATGAGGAATTGTTATTCCAGATGTTATTTTTTTTCATTTGTGCAACTTTTAGTTTTTTTTTTAATATTTAGCTTTGTCAGCCATGTTTTTCTCATTTAAAATCGGGGTTGGGCACAGTTCTGCTGTTTTTATGCTAATTTCAGCTTTTTCAGCTCAATCCAAACAATTAAACTTTTTTCAGCCTAATTCAGCAAAATTATGCTCTACCCACTTCCTTCTGATAATTTAAGCTTCTTTCTGCTTGTTTTAGCTACTATTCAGCAGTTCTTGGCAAATTTCAGCTTTTTTTCGGATAATTTCAACTTTATCGTGCTAATTTCTGACTCTTTCGGCCTTAGAGAAAACAGTTAAGATCACTTCACTTCCTTTTGGAAATTTAAGCTTCTTTCTACATTTCTTTAGCTACTATTCAGCTGTTTTGGGGAAATGTCAGCTTTTTAAAGATAATTTCCACTTCTGCTTTCTTCTGCTAACTTAGGCTTGTTCTTCCTTTTCAGCTACATTTCTGCATGCTTTTAGCTAATTTCAGCTGTTTTTCAGCAGGTTCTTCAGCAATAAGCATTCACACTGCAATTTTGCAGGAAATGCAATTGCTCTAGTTGTTATTGTTGAGCAGATCAGTGCTTTCACTAACTTTGGAAACCATTAGTGGAATTAGCTTTGCTAAATTAGGTTTCGCCAACATTAAGTCCACTAACAAAATTTAAAAGTTTTTTCCTGTCAGTTGTGGCCATGTCTTGAAGAGTTTGTTATACGCTAGTGGCGTGTACACAGACAAGACGTGATTGACGGTCAACTTGCTGACAAGTAGCAAGTTGGCCAACTGGTCTAAAACATTTGATTGTTGTACGTGATGATTGATTGTTATGGATGGGTGTGTTCTGCACGTGTTAAAAGCCATCTTTTGAGATTCCAATAGGAGGTTGGCTTGAAACAGCAGTGAAGGATACCTATAGATCTGGTTGGCAGGTCTTAGACTGAGGAAGTCCTCTGGATGGGGGACGAAACATTTCTCACTTAAAGAAACTGGTCCAGATGACATGATTTAACCTTTTTATTGTTATCTACCTGGATGATTGAGCCTACAAACCTTTTTAAATTGCTGCTTTAGCTTGTTTTCTGCTCATTTGAGTTAGTATTCTTCTTATTTTGCATCTAGTTTACTTGTTTTAACAATTCAGTTTTAGCTCTTTTTTATTTCAGTGTGCCTTTGTTGGTCTTCCTGATGGGGAGAAATTTGCTTTGGACAAAAAGGTCTGTTGCACAAGCCATCCTTCTCACAGTTAGTTACATGAATTCTGTCTATGTCTCGAGTCATCCGCTAATTGATGAGCTTCACTGAGAGAGGGATGAACGAGGTCTTGTATTTATATAAAGGAGCCCTGCACCTTCCTGAGTTCAGAAAAATGTATTCTGAGTGCAGAACATGAAGTGTCTGGCCATCTGCTCAAACTGGTCTTGGAAAGTCACAGGTGCAGCTGTACCCATGATTTGACCTGCTGTCTTCAGCAGATTTATTATCACCATTTATTTATTTATTCAGACCACCAAACCAGCAGCTAATGCCACATCTCAACATTGACTCAATGGTTGCTCTATAAGAAATCAACATAATATTCTTGCAGGCTCCAAATACTTTAAATTGGCCGAGAAAATGCAGACGTTGATGGATTTGAACACAAACAATTCAATTCACTTTATTTATAAAGTACCAAGTCACAGCAGAAGTTGTCTCAGGGCACTGAACAGAAACATTCACATACAGTAAAAGTTCTCTATCTAAGGAAGCAGCAGAGACTCTACTTCCTCGGACGGCTGAGACGAGCTGGTCTGGGAAGCTCAGTCCTCACCTCCTTCTACAGGTGTGCAGTGGAGAGCATCCTGTGCTCCAGCATCAACGTGTGGCATGGAGGCTGCACAGCTGCAGAAAGAAGAGCTTTGCAGAGAGTGGTGAAGGCTGCACAGAAGACTGTTGTAGTCAGTCTCCCCACCATCACAGACATCTACACCTCCAGATGCAGGAAAAGGGCCTCCTGCATCATGAAGGACCTCACACACCCAGCACACACACTTTTTGTCCCGGTCCCCTAGGGTAGAGGGCTGAGGAACAGCTTCTACCCTGAGGCTATTAGAATCATGAATCTCTAACCAGGACAATCACTGTAATATCATTTGGTTGTTGATGTGTGCTGCTGACTATCCATGCTGCTGATCTCATGCTGCTGATTATTTTATGTTGCTGTGTTCATTTGTCCTCATCTTCTCACACACATTCGTGCTGCTGTTGTTTTGGCACATTGTTTTTGTACTACCAGTGCTTAGTGTATTCTTGGTTTAGTGAATGTAGCATATTCTTAGTTCATGACTCAGATCTTACTAATGTTTTTCTTTACAATTTGTGTTTTTGTTGGGTTTAACTGGGACTGTGTACATAGTTTCGTCCCACCTCATGTACCATGTGTGGTGCGTGACTGTATTATGAAATTCTTTATCAAAGGTTCGTGAACGATCGGCACAGATATTCAGACAATGGGAAAAAATAAAACACACAGACTGTAACTTGCTAGAATAATATTTGTCATTTATTAATCTGCCACAAGAAAAACAGCCAAGCAAAAAAGTCATGTACACTCGTACACTCTTAACACACAAATTGATATGAGTATCTCTCACCGTGACAAAATGATCGGGAAGCCTTTCGATCCAATGACAGAACTCAATCACAACTGCATGGCACCGCGCGCTGGTCCACACAAGACTTCTAAAAATTAAGTTGCCTGTCACACTTCCTCTTATACCTTCTTCCCTGACCGGATCGCGTGAGAGCAGTGAAAAACAAGTTTGATGGTTACCAGAACAACGGATGAGGAGCTGGTGATTTATTACAAATAAGGAGCAGTGTGACGTCAAGGCGGGCCAAGACCTTGAAGCCAGAAATACTCCTTAAACTTTTCCTAAAGAGGAAATACGCACCCCTCCATCCCTCTGCAAACCATCAAAGAATGTCCCAAATATTAACAAAGGCAACATAAATCATTCCCCCCCCCCCTTTGTCTTTGTGACATGTTAAACAAAGTACAATCCCTAATATGTGAATAACACGTTGTATAAGTGTGTTTCCAAACTACATGTAAATGAGTGTAAATTGACATAAAAGCATCAAAATAATCATTCCTATATCAGTGACAAATAAATCTCTCTGACTCTGATTGTGTTGAATCTTCACTTCTTCACAGTCTCTCATCCTGAGCAAGCACAAAGGAGACAGTGGAAAGGAAAAACTCCATTTTAACAGGAGGAAGCCTCCAGCAGAACCAGGCTCAGGACGAGTGGACATCTGCTTCGGGTTTGAGAGGACAAAAAGGAGAAACAGACAAACACAGAATGGCAGGTCCAGATGTACGTTCTACAGGAGGAAAGACAAAAACATGCTAAGATAGAAATAATTACAAATACAAACAGGCAGTGTAAGTAAAGACAGCAGCAGAGAGAGGAAATGAGGTCAGTTTGTCCTCCAGCAGTCTGAGTCTATACTGTAGCAGCATAACTAAGGGATAGGTCAGAAAACCTAAACCAACCCTAACTATAGGATTTATCAAAAAGGAAAGTCTTAAGCCCAGTTTTAAAACTGGACAATGTGTCAGCCTCACAGACAGAAAATGGAAGTTGGTTCCACAAAAGAGGAGCCTGATAACTGAAAGATCTTCCTCCCATTCTGCTTTTGGAAACTCTAGGAACCACAAGTAAACGTGCAGTCTGAGAGCACACTTGCTAAACACATGTGAGCCAGAATAAGTCATTATCAAAACACTCCCAGATATTTGTACTCAACCTGCTTGATGTTTTGTCTATGTTTATCCACATGGCTATGACCTCCAGCTGACCTTGGGCCCACCAACAACTCCATTGTTATCTCAGTATTAATCTGCAGTTGATGGGCATCACAACATTTCACAAAGCCATCAACCCCAGGTCTGTGGCTGCTTAAGTAGGAGGTGGTTTCTAGCAGGTTAACAGTGTTATCTGAAAAATGTCCACATACTGGTCCAGCTGAGCGCTGACACAGTCATTGGTGTACAACGATGAGATGATGCAGCCCTGAGGGGCTCCGGTGCAGTATTTGAGTACACAGGGTTGAATTTTATCTGCTGTGGCCCGTTTGATAAGAAAGAGTGATGATGGTTTTACCTCCAGCTGAGACTAAGGATGTGTGGCTGAACTAAAAGCAAAGGTAAAATAATAAAAACTAATCTGACATTTGCAGAGGGACTCTCCAGATGTCCTGATGCTGCTCAATATAAATAAATCTAACCCGGTTTAGTCAGGTCCTCTGGATGGATTCTTCTTGTTGAAATGTTTCGTCTTTTATCCAAAAGACTTCTTCAGTCTGAGGAGCTGCAACAAACTCAGTATTATAAATGTAGGGACACATCAAGGTTTTTCTATCATTAACTTTTATTCTTTTGATACTTTGGAAGTAAGACTGACTCTCCATTCACAAAGCTGGACAGTAAGGAATCACATGTTCATATAAGATGAATAACAAAAACCTGTTATTGTAATTAATAGCACACCTGGTGTTAGGATTTCAGCAAAGCTGAAAGGCCCTTTTGTATGAGAACTTTTCCATCTGACCTGTGAAATATAACATCTAAAACG